TTATTTGGAAACATGTATATATATATATATACATGTTTCCAAATAATGGGATAATTATGGCTGAAAGTTTAGCTCTGTCTTTTTGGCTGTAAAACTAACTGAACATTTAATTTTAGGTGAAACAAAAGTAAAACAAACAAAAAAAAAGTACAGTGTATAGAAGTAACCATTTCACATGAAGAGGAGCAATAACTACAAAAAATATTTTAACATGCATGGACCAAAATCCCTTCAGTTACCAGCAGTCTCAGGTACTGTATTTTAAAGTTTCTTTGTCATCTAGCTATGAGGTTGGATTTATTTTTATTCTTATTTGATTCATATTTAAATTTTTATGCCAGATTGATCATTTTGTCTTTGATTTAGGCTATTAAGCTTCAGATAAAAATAACTCAAGTATTTTAGTAATTTTAAATGGAATATGCTGCGGTACAATTATCATGATATGAAATGGGCACTGAAATATTAACATTTAACTCATCAATTAGTATTTTATATGTAACCTATTGTCCTGATAGTAACGTTGAGCTATTTAGTTCACATAAAAACTCATAAAACAAGGCACATATGTTTCTTATACTTAGGTGCAAAAAATAGAAAATCTGTTTAAGAAATTTGTACTTTGTAAAAAAAATCTGTGAATCTTTAGTTATAGATTGTTCAGAACAACACCATTAAGAAAATAAAATTTTTACTGTTATTTATTGTTACATAAGGTTTTGCTACTTATTCCTGCTTTTCATTTCTGATAGTTTTGTTATATTTTGTGTTCTGTAATGTTCTTTATACATAATGGAAGGTTAAATAACTGTATAATAAATAAATGGACTTTACTTAAAGATGTAACGGTATTTGCATTTCATGTATTATATTATTGCATTTGACCCGCAGTCCTCTGATAGAATTTAAATGTGGCTCTCTCAGGGAAAAAGTTTGGGCACCCCTGGTTTAGAGTTAATAGACGATTAAGTCATACCAGTAAAAACGTGTTCTTTAAGAGATTGACTTTGTGATTGGTTGCTGACCTTATCTCACAGCCCAGGCTGATGTTAGGAAGAATACTGGGGTCTGCATTGATCCTGTCTAGAGTGTGCATCATGGCCTCCACCCTCTGGATCCCATACTGCTCACGTATTGCTCCACACTTCCGCTCATGGACCTGAGCAAAAAGTAGGATTATTAACAGGTAACATAAAACAAACAGAGATATAAACAGTTGTGTGATTGAAACAACAGGTACTTTATCTGCAGGTGGTTGGTGGTGGACAGAGAACAGGGCTCCTATGATGATGTCTCCTGGAAGATGAGCCAATCTTCTTCTCTCGTTGTTTTGAGCCACAGTTCCTGCCAGGCCTTTCAAACTCAGCCAGTTCACATCAAGTCCAAGTAGCAACACGACTGCAAACAGTCTCATGTGCACTCTTTTTCCTCTGCATGCGCTCTTACTGATTCCTCCTGCCATCATGTGTCCAGTCAGAGCTGAAGTTCACATGGACGTTTGCATGTTTTGCATGATGAGCCGAGGCTAAGACTCCTGCAGGAAAACATAAAAACTCAGTGTAGAAACAGAACTAAGAGAAAATAACTCCAACTAAAATCTTGATGCATGATCTAAAACATATTTTACTCAAATATATATATTTTTGTATTTACCTCAGTGAAACATCCTGTTTACCTTTTTGTTGCCAGCTGTCATTCAGATGTGTCCTGCTGAGAGTCTTCCTGTTACAGAGAAGCTGCTGCAGCTTTGTGCTCAGGCTCAGTCTAGTGCCTGGCTACAGCAAACTGCAAATAGCAGCAGATAATACAGACGGTTATTGGAACATGTTTGACTTACTGACGCACAAGACAGCCCCCCCTCCTTTTCTCGCTCCCCCTCCTCCTCCGCTCTTCTCCATTTTCTTCCTCGTCTTCCACCAAAACAGCAAAGAGCATCATCAGTGATCACTCAGATGTTAAATTCAAAATGAAAACTAAAAACTAAAGGCGCATGCTCTTTTTTTCCAACATTCTGTTATCTTTTTGTTTTTTTTTCATGCTTTGATTGTAAAATACTGAAAATTATTAGTTAGTCGTCAATAGCTCTATCTAGAATGTTTGTCAATCCTACCAGACAGACAAGTTTAGGAAGTTTGTTGAAGTTTAGAGATCTATAGTCTTAAAGGAATAGTTTAAACATTTATTTTTGTGTAATCCGACAGGATGAAACATTCTCATAAGGTTCTCGTAGTATTTTTTTTCATCCTAAACCATCAAGAATTTTTTTTTTACATTTCCACATTTTATTTAAAAGAAGAAAGAAAAAAAAAACGTTCAAATCAAGTTTTTTTAAAAGGTTTGCAAATATAACTTCAGTGAAAATTCCTGTTAGGGTACCAACCCTTTAGATAGTAAAATAAAAGTGTGAAAGTAAAAGAGTTTTAGGGATCATTCCCTTGCAGCTTTCTTTAGGTTGTTTTGTGAAATTGGGCAAACTTGAGGGAACATTCAGCATCATTTTGTGGAACACGGACAGTTTGAGGGACTTAGGGTTCTCAGATGTTTTTGTGTGATAAATAATGGAACAATAACATTCACTTTGACACAAGACTGGAAATTGTAAGGCGGCGTGTAATACTGTCTGTATGTGTGAACATTTTTGAAAAAACTTCAAATCAATGAGAGCAAAATTGAGTTACTTAGTTACCAGGGGAGATCAGGTGCTTTAATAAAGCATAAAGCGTGGCTGAGACGCCATCTAGTGTCAAGTATCTTATAGGCAACGTTTTTTGGTGAATATCACAATCCATTATTTTCACAATGAAAGTACAAATAGTCAAGTCGACTTTATTTATAAAGCACATTTAAAACAGCAACTGTTACCCAAGTGCTTAACAATAAAATCAATGGGAGTAATTTCATGGGGAAAAAAAAATAAAATAAAAACAATGGCAGTACTAAAAATTAATTAAAAGCAGCAAAAGAGAAAAATAATAAATGCAGAGCAATAACATACTAAATTGAGTCACATTGTGTACAAAAGCCAGAGAAAACAGATGTGTTTTTAGCAGAGATTTAAAATCAGGGGGTGAAGTTGGGCGTCAGGTTGTTCCAGAGTTTAGGGCCCACGACTGAAAAAGCCCGATCACCTCTGAGCTTCAATCTTATTTTTGGAACAGACAAAAGCAGCTGATCGGCTGATCTCAGGGCCCAAGAAGGACCATATGGTTCCAGTAGCTCAGAAAGATAAGGGGGTGCAAGGCTATGCACCTAAAGGTTAGCAGCAGGATTTTAAAATTAATTCTGGTACGTTCAGGTAGCCAGTGATGGAAGGATAAAACTGGCTTAATATGATCAAACCTACGAGATCCTGTTAAGAGCCGAGCTGCAGCATTTTGGATGAGCTGGAGATGCAAAATGGAGACCTGACTGACCCCAACATAGAGTGTGTTACAGTAGTCCAGTCAGGTAGTAATAAAGACATGGACTAGTTTTTCAAGGTCAAATCTGGACAACACTGACTTAAGCTTAGCTATCTGCTTTAACTGGAAGAAGCTTTTCTGCAGAACACAGTTAATTTGTTATTAAACTTAAAGTCAGAGTCTAAAACTGACCTCCTGACTCAGACAGTTCAATATAAAAGTCTGATTGTAGACTGTACAAAGATTTTGTGCAGGGGGCGGGGGGGGGGGGGGGGGGGGGGGGGGTGTCATGTGAAGCAGCAGCAGTAAGAATGAAAACATTCTGAGAAAGCATCAGAGAATAAAACTCTGCCCTAAGCAACAATGTGCTCATCAGCTGCTGCTCAGTAAATACTTTGTTCCCAGTCTTTATAGTGATTTGTTCTGTTGATGACGCATGGTTAACAAGTCATTTCAAATTCAGAATAAAAATATCAGAAACACGTTTAATTAAAGCTGCAAGCAGCATTGGAGACCCTTGCACCAAAGGGCCGCTCCGGCCTTACGGCGACGGCGGGATCTCCAGCTAGTCCACCCAGTCACCATCATGAACGATCTCGCGCCAATCCCGCATGCGTTCACCATGGTGCGCATTTCCCGAATCTTCAGTATCGCCCTCCGTCCATGTCGTTACTTGTCCAGCTGCAGGTCTTACAAGTATAGTCGAAATCTGACCTTCCAGACAGGAGGTATGGTGACTTCCTGTTTTGTTGCGAATGTTTGACAAACAAGCACTTCCTTTATGCTTTTCAACATGTCATGTGTGGTAATCAACAGTTAGCGAACAAAGTTAAAGTTTCAGTCTAATACCTTGCACAGTGCAAAGCTGGAAGTGTCATCCAATAATTGAATTTTTTTTCTCTGACTAGGTGGGGCTTAAGTGATGTCATGAATCAACAATACCAATGTGTCTAGACGTGCTCACTGATGAAACACAAAAACTCAGGTTCAGCTCGGATGATGCATCACTGAGATATAACCGTTGGAATAATGTAGGGGGCACATTTGAGTCAAATGTTAAAGAACAATATTAATGTGTCTAAGTGCTCACTGATCACACACATAAAATCTGTTACATATTGGATGATATTTCACTGAGCTATAACTGTGGGAATACTGTAGGGGGCGCACTTGAGTCAAAAAGGTAAACAACAATACCAGTGTGTGTAGAAGTGTTCATTAATTACTTACTAAAAATCTGGCCTAGACCAGATGATATTTCACTGAGATATAACTCTTGGAATAATTTAGGGGGTGCATTTGAGTTATATGTTAAACCACAATATCAATGTGTCTAGAAGCGCTCACTGATTATGCATAAAAAATCTGGTTCCGATCGGATGATGTGTCACTGAGATCTAACTGTTGGAATAACATAGGGGGCGCACGTCAGTCAAATGTTAAAGAACAATACCAATGTGTCTATAAGTGCTCACTGATCACATGCAATAAATATGGTACATATTGAATGATATTTCACTGAGCTATAACTGTAGGAATAATGTAGGGGCGCACTGGAGTCAAAAGTTAAAAAAACATTACCAATGTGTCTATAAGTGTTCACTAATGACGCACCCAAAATCTGGTTCAGATCAGATGATATATCACTGAGATATAACTTTTGGAATAATCTAGGGAGCACACTCGAGTCAAATGTTAAATAATAACACAAATGTATAGAAGTGCTCACTGATCATGCACCAAAATCTGGTGCAGATCGGAAAATATATCATTGAGATATAACAGTTTGAATAATCTAGGGGGAGCACTTGAGTCATATGTTAAACCACAATATTAATGTGTCTAAAAGTCCTCACTGATGACGTGCAATAAATCTGGTGCAGATCGGATATTGTATCACTGAGCTATAACTTTAGGAATAATGTAGGTGGTGCTGTGGAGGCTATTGGCCACTTATCATTGATACCTGTTCAAGGGGCGGATAATGATTGATCCTAGTGATTTTGGTGCACCTCGGCTGAAATCTGTGCAATTTAGAGCAAAACGTATTGCAACGACATCACTTCTTAATTTGCCACGCCGCCTCGCCCACATCCTCAAGCAAAACCGTTTGCACTTTAAATCAAGTCAGACCATATTATTTGTCTTCTAACACAGGATCATCCTGATTAGGTCAATGGTGTCAAAGAGGGAGCATTCCAAGTTAAAAAAGAGACTTCCTGTTGCAAGGTGGCGGGGCTTTGATGCCGTTAAAATTTGACTTCAGTGCATTGTCGGGCATCCAAAAGGGATGAGTCATGCCAAGTTTCGTGCATTTCGGTCTTTCAATGTGAAAGTTATAGAGTTTGGAAATTTATGGCGTGAATCAAAATTTTGAGTCCTGGCCACGCCCCTTTAACATATACAAAAACGCAAGCTTTAGATAACTTTTACTCTCCAATGTCTTAAGGGCATATCAACCAAGTTTGAAGGCAATCCTTCAAAATTCCTAGGAGGAGTTTGTTCAAATTTGCAATTAGAAACTCCCAAAAATGACCCTTTGACCCAAAATGGCTGACTTCCTGTTGGTTTTGGACCAGGGCTTCAAGAGACTTTTTCATAGGTCCTGAGAAGATACAGATGTTCACCAAGTTTCTGAATTATAGGTGAAAAAATGGCTTGGGGATGAGGTTTTAAAATATTCTAGGGGGCGCTGTGGAGGCTATTGTCCACTTATCATGGCTTCCTGTTCAAGGGGTGGATAATGATCTATCGTACTGATTTTGGTGCACCTCGGTTCCAAACTGTGGAATTTAGAGCCAAATGTATGGTGACAGCGTTACGTCTTACTTCGCCACACTGCGCCACTCACATGCTCCACCCAAAACTGTCAGTGTTGGAAAGCAAGTTACACCAACATGTCTTCAGTCACTGGACACACTATCATGCTGATCAGGTAACAGGGGTTAGATAGGGATTGTTCATTGTAAAACTGTATACTTCCTGTTGTCAGGGTGCGTGGCTTAAGTGATGTCATGATTTGACCATTCAGTCTTGCAGGGGACTGGAAGTGGATCAATCAGTGAAGGTTTGATGTGTCAGACAGTTTTAGTGTAGGAGCTATTAGCGTTTTGTTTTTCATGGCGAAATGTCAAACTTTGAGGTCTGGCCCCGTCCCTTCAGCATGCTCCGAAATGAACCGTTTAGATAACTTTACGTCCCCCGTGCCTTTTGACCAAAATGGGTAAGTTTGAAACCGATTGAGCGAAATCCCTAGGAGGGGTTTGTTCAAATGCGGAGGCTGTGAACCGCCAAAAAGGTGTGAAAATTGGGTCAACATTCCAAAATGGCTGCCTTCCTGTTTATCGTGCAACGTTGGTGCCAGAGGGTTTTCTGTGCATCTTGGGGAATTGGACAAGCATACCAAATTTCATGTTTCTATGACAAACTAAGGTTAAAGCGGAGGGTATTTTGAACATTTCTAGATGGCGCTCTTGAGCCGTCTCTGTTGCGATTTTCGCCACACCGTAATTTTTCACCAGTCCTGATGCGTCCTCCAAATTTGGTGACTTTTGGGATCTGTTAAGGCCCCCAAAACAACAATTCATTTGGCAGAAAAAATTGTAGCTCAGGCCTGAACAGAGCGATTACAATAGGCCTTCGCAGCGCTTTGCTGCTCTGGCCTAGTTATAGGGATGTTTGCTCACACTTTATTCACAATAAATGAGAGCATGATGGCTTAGTGGCTAGCACAGTTGCTTCACAGCAAAATGGACTTGGGCTCAATCTTCGGTTTGGACCTGGGGTCGTTTTGTATGGAGTTTGCATGTTCTCCTCATTTGTGTGGGTTTGCTCTGGTCCCCCCCCCCCCCCCCCCACACACACACACACCGTCTACAAATATATGCATATTAGGCTGCCTTAAGGCACATAATAAAATTGGAATAAATAAATAAAAATAAAAAATAAACATCTGTGATCTCCCTGGGATTTGTCTGGATAAATAAAAATTATTCAAGATTTTGTATTTATTTTTTTTTAACACTCAGTTTATATTAAATAAAAATTAAAATGTTTAAATAAGCTTTTTATTTTTAGGTGTAAGTATTTCTGTGGACTGAAAATAAATAATGCATGAGCAGCCATCAAAGATTTGCTTTCAACAGCCTCACCCCACAAGACTTACTCTATTTAATTAATTAATTAATTAATTAATTAATTAATTAATTAATTTAAAAAAGAAAGAAAGACAGAAGCTTTGCTTTCCTTCTAATTTTTTTCGCTCTGTGGTCCAACCACTGCCATGGTAATTTTCATCCCATAATGGCAGGAAAAGCTGTTTATTTAGACTGTTTCATGGTTTAAGAGCTTCAGCATGTGACTGGGAGGTGGGGAGGTAGAGTGGAGCTTGAGGAATGTTCCCTCTTTCTCACTTGGGGAAATATTTTAGTTAATTTCTTTTCAAGTGCCTACCATCTCCATCTCTGTGCTGCTGTGATGTGGCCGATAAAACCGTTTTTTTTCTTTTTGTGTCTCGCCCCCACCTATCAACAGTTTCCCCGTCTTTGTACCACTCCAGAAGCCCTGCAGACCAAGGAGTGCTGCCCGCCTTGGGAGGGCGACGGCTCAGCTTGTGGGGCCAGGTCGGGCAGAGGTTCCTGTGAGAATGTAGTGGTCTCGGAACAGCCCGACGGGCCACAGTACCCCTTCTCCGGCTTGGACGATCGAGAGAAGTGGCCCTTGGTTTTCTACAACCGAACCTGTCGGTGTGTCGAGAACTTTATGGGATTCAACTGTGCGGACTGTAAGTTTGGCTACTTTGGGGAGAACTGCCACGAGAGAAGAGAGTCTCTGAGGAGGAACATTTTTCACCTGACCAGAGCGGAGAGGAACAGACTTGTGTCTTATCTGAACCTGGCCAAGCAGACAGTCAGCAGAGACTATGTTGTGGCAACAGGGACATACAGGGACATGGCGAACGGCTCCATCCCTCTGTTTGCTGATGTGTCTGTGTATGATGTGTTTGTGTGGATGCATTACTACGTGTCCCGGAATGCATTGCTGGGTGGGCCGGGAAATGTGTGGACTGATGTGGACTTTGCTCACTGGGCCCCTGCATTCCCCCCATGGCACCGCGTGTACCTGCTCCACTGGGAACATGAGATCAGAAAGCTGACCGGAGACCAGAGTTTCACCATTCCTTACTGGGACTGGAGAGATGTCCAGGGCTGTGATGTGTGCACAGATGAGCTGATGGGAGGCAGGAGCCCTGGGGACCCCTCTCTTATCAGCCCAGGTTCTGTCTTTTCCTCTTGGAAAGTAAGTTATTTTATTTCTTTGGAAAATCACTTTAAAATTGATATATATGAGGGGTGTAGAGACTTGTCTTGCAAATTCAGCCAATTTTACTACAGCCAAAACACAAAATACCAAAAAGTACAAATATATAGCCTTCTCAGGTGTTAAAAATTTGTTATTTAATTAAATTAAAATCAGTTTATTTGCATAGCGCCAAGTCACAACAGACGTCACCTCGGGGCACTGAACAGAAACATTCATATATAAAAATAATAATTTAACACTATTTATCTGAGGAGCAGACCGTTTTGACTAACTTCATCACAGACCTCTCATCTTGAGCAAGCAAGAAGGCGACAGTGGAAAGGAAAAACTCCCTCATGAGGAAGAAACCTTTAGCAGAACCAGGCTCAGGACAAGCCGTAATCTGTTTCAACCAGCTGGGTTTAATAGGAACAGGAAGGAGGAACAGATACACAATGGCACGTCAAGAATCACACGTTAAGATAGAAATATAATCAAATGAAAATTATTTAATTTTAACAATTCTTTTAAGGAAATTAAGTCAGTTTGTCCTCCAGTAGTCTAAGCCTATGGCAGCATAACAAGCCAACCCTAACTATAGGATTTATCAAAAAGGAAAGTCTTAAGCCCAGTCTTAAAACTGGACAATGTATCAGCCTCATGGACAGAAACTGGAAGTTGGTTCCACAAGAGAAGAGCCTAATAACTGAAAGACCTTCCTCACATTCTGCTTTTGGAAACTTTAGGAACCACAAATAAGCCTGCAGTCTGAGAGCGAAGTGCTCTGTTAGGAAAATATGGAACAATAAGATCTGTAATATAAGATGGAGCTAGGTTGTTGAGTGCTTTGTAGGTTAGAAGTAAGATTTTGAATTATATGTTGAATTTGACAGGGAGCCGATGGAGAGAAGCTGAAACTGGAGAGATATGATCTCTCCTACTAACTCACTCTGGCAGCAGCATTTTGGATCAACTGAAGATGTTTTAAAGACATTTTTGGACACCCAGATAACAAACCATTGCAATAGTCCAGTCTAGACGTGACAAATGCAAGAACCATTTTTTCTGCATCATTTTTAGATAAGACATTTCTAATTTAAAGATATTACACAGATGGAAGAGGGAAGCTATGGTAATGTTTTTAATGTTGGGGATAAAAAACATGTCCTGAACAAAAATAACACCAATATTTTTAACATTAGAGCTGGAGGACAGATTAATGCCATCTAAGGAGGGAGAAAGACTGAAAAACTCTTGTGAACTCTTTTATTTATTTTTTTAAATAAGAGATTTTTATTTTATTTTATTGTGCACAAAGGTTTTGTGTTTTGAACAAAAAAATTGGAAAACATCTTTGTTGTTCCTGTTGGATCACAAAAATATTATTTAATCTTGTACATAAGTGTTTCTGTTGTGTTCACTACCAAGCACTGGAATTGGTGTCGGCTGATTATTAACAATGTTGCTTTAAACAACACAGATCATTTACAAATCTGATATTTTAACAAATAAATTTTTAAACAAACTGAATTTAATTCATTTAAATTTTACTTCATTTGTAATTTTGGTATAAAAATGATCAAATTACTGAGTAAAATAGTATTTATGTACATTGGCAAGATGTTTTCCAGGGAGCCTAGTTTATTGGTAGACTGTGACTCTCCCTTGTGCTTTCTCACTACAGGTTCTATGCTCTAAGGCTGAAGAGTACAGTAACAGAGGTGTTTTATGTGATGCCAGTGATGAAGGCCCAGTGCGCCGCAATCCCGGAAACCATAATCGAAATTTAGTTGAAAGATTACCAACTTCTGCAGATGTGGAGTTCACGCTCAGCCTCCCAAACTATGACACTGGAGCAATGGACCGCAGCGCCAACATGAGCTTCAGGAACACTCTGGAAGGTCAGATAAACTTTCCAAAAACACACACTGGGATGCGACAGACAAGAAGATCTTTGCTTAATCTCTGTAATATGTCAGCTCGTGCTGACTGCTCTGTGAGAACTGACATAAACGTGGACTCGACGTTACAAATTCAACGCAAATTAATCTATCATAGGACTGAATGACACACAAAAACATTTTTTACACCTAAGAGAGTTGCTGCTCTTTCATAAAAAAAGTCATCTCAGAAGTCTCCCTCAGGTGGTTTTGCCACCGTTTGCACTTTCAAATGAATCACATGATGGTTGGCGCCCATGTGACCCTGACCTCAGCAGCCCACATGATGAGCTGAAGACACACATGTGACCTGAACACTCTGACTTTCTGCACAGCAAGTTCCAACTCATCGACCCATCACTTGGAGTTAAATAAGCCCCTTGAACAAAATAAAGTGTTCAAGAGCAAAAAAATTCAATTCAGTTCAGTTTTAGTGGCAAGTCATAACAGAAGTCATCTCAGGGCACTGAACAGAAACATTTATATATGTAAAAAACAAGTTAACACTATATACAGGTATCTGAGGAGCAGACTGCCTTGAGTTTAACTTCATCGCAGACTCTCATCTTGATCAAGAGGAACAGATACACAATGGAAGGTCAAGAATCACATGTTAAGATAGAAATAAAAACTATTCAGTTGTAACAATTAATTTAAGGAAATGTTAATTCAACCTTTATTTATGCATGCTAGTCAATGTAAACACGTTGACCACATTAAGGAAATGTGGTCAATTTGTCCTCCTGTAGTCTAAGCCCATAACAAGACAAACCTAACTATAGGATTTATCAAAAAGGAAAGTCTTAAGCCCAGTCTTAAAACTGGACAATGTGTCAGCCTCATGGACAGAAACTGGAAGTTGGTTCCACAAGAGAGGAGCCTGATAAATGGAAGATCTTTCTCCCATTCTGCTTTTGGAAACTATAGGAACCACAAGTAAACCTGCAGTCTGAGAGTGAAGTGATCTGTTAGGAAAATATGGAACAATAAGATCTTTAATATAAGATGGATCTAGGTTGTTGAGAGCTTTGTATTGTGAATTTGACAGGGAGCCAATGGGGAAAAAAAAATCTAAAATTATTTGGTTGTCTGCCACTCAGACTTTTAGGATTATTAACATTTTAGAATGGGATGGTTTTGTATATTTGTCAGGAACATGTTTTAAATGTTACATTTCCTTGTCAAATCATAGTAAATGAAAGGAAAGCTGTGGGAAACACTTTCTGAGTTTACAGTACTTGTATCCCTTATAAATAAAATTCTTGCTCATTTAGTGTTACCAAAGCTAGGAATCATATTGTACATTTCTTTCCATTTAAGGAGGTAAAATAGCCCACCCTACTTTTGATTCTTCATTTCATGAACTTTTCTTCTTGCAGGATTTGGGGACCCTCAGACGGGGTTAGGTAACAGTGCTCGTTTGGGTATGCATGCTTCTCTGCACGTGTATATGAACGGGTCCATGTCGTCAGTGCAGGGCTCTGCAAACGACCCCATATTTATTCTTCACCATGCTTTTGTTGACAGGTGAGTAACAGACAGACACATGCTGGAAATATGAACATAAACACTGAACTCTATTTTCTTCTTTCTATGAAAGTCTCTATGAGCAGTGGCTAAGGAGGCACAGCCCGTCTCCATCCCAGTATCCAGAGTTTAATGCACCCATTGGACACAATGGTGACTACCACATGGCACCATTCCTGCCTCTCCACAGAAACAAAGAGTACTTTATCTCCAGCAAAGAGCTTGGATATGAGTATTCCCACTTGCTTAATGCTAGTAAGTTCTCTTCTGGGAATTAACTTTAAGATAATCAACTTCTTTTTATCATCTGCACTCTGTTCCCCCACAAAGGTTTCTATTAATTGAGCATGAAAAAAATATTCTACAACAGTATTATGTGTTAAAGAAATATACGGAATTTGAAGTTAAGCTCAAACTTATATTCTTCACTGATCTCATTTTTAGACCAAAGGCTTGCAGAATCCATGCGTCCCTACCTGGATGACCTGCAGGGCATGTGGCCCTGGCTGCTGCTCGCAGGACTTTGTGGAGTAATCGTGACAATGACCATTGTTACTGCTGTCCTGCTTGCAAAACGTCCATCTAAAGGAATGCTGTGGCCTTCTGTAAAAAGCTGGAGGCATGCGCTTGCTCTCCCAGAGAGACAGCCTCTTATCTGGAGCAACAAAATGGAAGAATCCAATTACAACAGCTACCAAACCACCATGTAAAAACACAAGTTGTGCAGAGATGTACCAACACTGTTAACTTTGTTCATATCAGCAGATTTAAATATGTACTGTGTTGAAAATTGTGCATGCAGGAACTTGTAAAATGCTGTTTAAATCAATAAATGGATATTTTTTTTCTCCTAAGAAAACCAATAGTCTATGTTAATAAACTATTTAGCAACATTGTTCACAATAATTTTTTTATCAGTTTTTTTTCCACATTAAAAAAAAAAAAGTCAGCTGAAAGGCTGAGAAGACGATATTTACTTCAGTGGTAGTTTGAGCACTAAAGTTTTGCACAATTTTCTCTCTCGTTACCCCGGTGATGATTCGGATCATGGTTTTTGTTACAACTTATTTTCAGGAAAAGGCATGAATAATAATTATAATTTATTGAATTTGTACCACACTCAACAAGTGCTACAATATTAAACAGTTAAAAGATAGAGCATAAACTAAAAGAAGCAGTATTAAAATTTCATTTAAATACTATAATATCTTTCAAATGAGAAGGTATTCAGTCCTTTCTTAAAACTTTCTATATTCTGGGATATCCTTAGATGGTCGGGGAGGGTGTTCCACAGACGAGCAGCAGCCGAGCAGAAGGCCTCATCACCCATGGTGCAGTTTTTCCTGGGAGGGTGTAGGAATTTGTGGAGCGGAGGGATCATGTTGTTTGAGCAGTGAACAATTCTTTGAGGTAGTACGGGGAATTGCCTTGACTGGATTGGTGAGTAAGGAAACCTTGTGGAGGGATAGAAGGATAGGGGTGATGTCATGTTTCCTTTGTTTCATCAGAATCCTGACGCACTGTTCTGACCATACTGAAGTTTTTGAATGTGTTTGGAAGGAATCCCATAAAAAACGTGCATTGCTGTAGCCCAGTCTTGAGGACATGAAGGCATAGACAAGTTTTTTTTTTAGCTTTGGGAAAGGATGGCATTTGGAGATGTTTGACTAAGTCATATATTTTATTTCAACTAAAAATTTAGGTAAATTAATAAAAAAGCCCAAGACTAAGCTCCATCTAGCAAAATTAACCCAAGAGCAATTATTTTTGCTTGTAAAATATATTCCAAAAAACAAACAAACAAACAAAAAAAACAGTTATAACACCAAATCCTCTGGATTTGGAAAAGTGCAATTTTTAGATTCAGGTAAAAACAGCTAATATTACAAAGGCTCACAGACTATTCAGTCTTTTTTAAAATAAACTGTTGACACGCACCCTCAAACAGAGGTGATTTATCAGTGTTTTTAATTTTATTTTAGTTTCAGTTAGCTTGACTGTGATGCTTTTAAGGGTCAAAAGAAATGTTTACCGACCGGTCAATGAAAACTTGGGAACAGATTCCACATCAACCACAGCTCTGACGTTGACACCAGATGGTTCTTCCAGTCTGTCTTGTTTTCTTGACTCCATCTTCTTCCTCAGTTACCTTCTGAGACAGAACCTTCTTGAAATGAACCACGTTCACAGGCTTTGAATAAATCATTGTTGCATGGTTCCTGCGAGTGTTGGTGAAGTCCACATTTTGGACCCTCGTTACATTATGATATTCTACTCCAATAGCTTTTGAGTGAGATAAAGTTTCCTAGGCCAAAAATAAAATGGAAAGTTCCTGGAGAAACTTTGATGGGGACTGCCACGCTGCTGCCAATTTAAAGTTTTGATTTGACAGTACTGTTTTTGGATTCGCCAAATTTCATCTCAATAGTGCATCTTTAAAGATGTGGTGGTAGGAAGTTTGCTCGACGACATTTTTGTTCAAGGAGCTCTCCACTCTAGGTCATGTGACTTCAGAGATGCAGTTAAGAGGGTGAAAAGTGCTCCGTCAGGTGTTTTGCATGTGAAAAATGGCATATTTGCTTGCAAATTACGTTGCTATGGTAACTCGAAACGCCAATAAAATAGCACACATCACGGCACCAAGCCGGTCATTTTGATACATTTGAGGGGATATACTTTGCAGTTTGGGTCGCAGTAAAGTTGACAAGAGTAAGAAATAAAGTTAAGAAACCTTTTATTATGTGGTGTTAGGTTGTTTGAATGTGAAAAAGTGCACCTTTCTTTGCAATTTACGTTGCCATGGTAACTCAAAAGGCCAATAAATAGGATTACAGAGCTGAAACATCGTTTCTTAAGCAGTCCCCAATAAAATAAAAACACACATTCTAAGCTTAGACAGCTGTCTAGTGTAAAACAGTACTTTGGTCAAAATACTTTGTATTTATTTGGCATTCTCAAAAAATACAGAACATTCTCAATGAAAACATAAAGATGAAAAATAAGTTCATTTTAGCATTTAAAAAAAAAAGAATAGCAAAAAATTTAAATGTAATTTAAAAAAAAACATTGTAGCAAACTTGCAAATTAACTATGACAAAGTTCATATAGTTGGAACAAATTTGCCAAACATTTTAACTTTTATTTCTATTGAATAAATTCCCTATGATAGACATCTTGAGACAGAGAACCGTTGTTTATTGTCATCACACCAATACGGAAATACATTTATTGCATGAGGAGTATCGAGTCTGACAAGACAGATGAAACAAACTACACAATGAATGAAATCAAAAGATGAATAAAATAGAATTACAGATCTGAAACATTGTTTTATGTGTACTATGAATAGAACAATGGAAATGATCAGGTGGAATTATGTTTTAGAATCATTGCGAAAAGATGGACACAACCTTCTAACTTTTGATTTTCAGAAAGGTTGAGCTCATGTCACCCAATTAAAGTCAACAAAATTTAGGAGTTTCATTTGTCACAAACTGAACTCAGCTTTTAATTAAATATTTCAAGATGACAAAATAACGTCCAAAAGCTGAAAGGACCGGACGCAACATTTATCATTATGATGAATATTATAGGTGCAAAATTCTGACTCTTTATGAAAAATGCTTTAAAGGCCAAAAAGCTATCCTTTACCCAAGTAAATAACTTACATTGTGCTTTCTTGCTTGTGTTAAAGCAAGAAGTAAATATATGTGTTTTTGAAATCATCGTCATTAATCTTCATCCTCACTGTCGGTCTCTACTTTCTTCTTCTCGCTCTCCTTTGGTGGAGCAACAGGAGGAGGAAGATCGAGACGAGCCCAGGACATCACCTCAGCCTTCTTCATCGCTACTTCGATCTTGGCTGCCATCATGTTCACCATGCTCTTACTCACATCTATCACCTTTGAAAGGAAACAAAGAGAAAGAGAAACTTATCCCACAAGTTCTAAAACAGTGCATCATTTGTACTTTACCATTTAAGCAAAAATAAAACAAAGACTGAATCAGTCTTCAGGTTTCTGTCAATCGAACTGAAGTGCTCTTTAACTGTGTCCTCTATTCAAACCAGCAACCAAACTGGAGGAACAAAGTCGAATTGGAGCTGGTGGTTTACACCCAGGAATAAATTAAAGGTTAGCATTTAAATCAGTGCTGCAAAATGTTTTGAGTGTATTCTAAAAGAATAATTATACTGTCATTTAAAAACCATGTTGTATAATTAAAGTGGCTAACAGCAAAGGTGTCAAGCCTATTCGTGTCATTAAAACTGTACTTACTCCCCACAGGCTGATTTTCTGCACAAATTCCTTTTCTCCATCAAATACAATGTAGATGTTGAGCTGGAAAACAAAAAAACAAAACAAAAAAAAGACATGATTGGATCGACAAGAACAGTTTGACATGAAATCATCTGGCAGAAGACAAGCTCTCACCGTGGTGCTGTTAGCATCAACATAGCTTAGCTCGGGGATGGCATTTTTGGCATAAATAGAAATGATGACCTGACTCCCAGTTTGGTGCCAGTCAAACCTACAGGGGACCACCTTCTTTCCCTGCAAAGATAATTCAGATAAAGATTCCTATATCGGCTGCTATATTGTTGAAGCAAAGCAACGTCTTTCACTGTGTGGCCACTAGATGGAGCTCCAGTTGAAGCTTCGCACACACCGAATGACTTTATACCACAAGGCAGACATTACTACCTCATCCTTTTTCCTCCATAGATGTGCTCCCTTTGCGCAGCCTTCCTGAGAAAGGAAGGTGTTAAAGTCTGAGGTTTTCCTCTTACAGCAGCTCCAGTATTTCATCCTGGACACAAAGGACAAACATCAACACTGGTTGGATTTTCAGCAGCAACATACATAACAAGAACATTTAATGCTACTCTTCATTATTCTTTAGCAATTTTCACAAAATATCTTCTAAATTATTTCAATAAATACAATCTACATATTACAGTTAGAACATTGATAGTAGTACTAACCCTTCATGGAAAATTGGGACTCCAGCGTGGTATAGGCACACATCAGAGTCACTTGCAGGTCCCTCGAACGTCTAACGTAAACAAGAAGTGTTTGTGTTAATAAATCTGAAAATTAATTTCAACCTTTAACTGGCTAAGAGGCAAAACAGGATATAAAAACTTTTTTCAATCTGCTTCTAATATTCTTAATTTTGTCAAGAATTCAGTTATTTGTTAGCTTAAACTCAGTGTTTTTATTGAATGATTCAAGTACCAAAGAAGTTCTTCTGTTATAATGCTGACAATGATTTAAACTGAACTTTAAAACTAAACAAAACAAGGAGTGTAACTGATGAAAAAGCCTACAAAATGGCACATATGGTTTTCAATTAATTTCCTTCAAGTATGAGTATGTAACTAAATTCAAAACAGCTAAGCTCTTGTAAATGAGTCATTGTGACTCAATGGGAACTAACGTGTATAAATAAAGGTTGAATGAAAAAACAAAAGTCAAAACAAAATTTCCTCCTGATTTCTGTTTGAATCTCAGCGTTTCTGATCTGAAACCATTTGGCGTTTGTTTAGCATATATCTTAGATCCTTATTAACAGTTTCTCTTTATACTGTACATAATTTCATTCCACCTCATGTACGACATGTGATGGTAATGATAATAAAAATGACCTGAACTTGATCTGAAGGTAAAAACTAGCCTGTGTGAAAACTTTTCTATGTTCAGTAAAAAAAAAGAAAAGAATGCTCTTTTGACATTTTTAATGGAATAAATCTAGATCACCATACTGTATTTTCCTGACATTAAGTCACACTTTTTTCATAGTTTGGTCAGTCCTGTGACGTATAATCCAAAGCGACTTATATGCGTTTTTTTCTCCCTATTCATGACACAATTTTTGACCGACGCGTTAAATGTTCAATCAAACAGACATGAACCAAAGAGTAAACTTTACCATTTGCAACCCTGAGAGGGACCTCTAGGCTTTTGACAACTATGTGTTTTCCTCTTCCGTTACCTCCCCACGCCCCACTCTTCCTCCAGAGTTGGCGGAGTTGTTTAGAAGCGACACTGAGGATGGTAACTTGCTTGTCGGACTCGTTGGCTTGTTAAATAAACCTGTTCAGGATACCAGGTATGTTCTGTGTTATTCCCAATTCAGATTAGGGGTGCACTGATAAATCAGCAGGCCGATTTATTGACCTCGATTTCCTTAATTTTTGGAAATCAGAAATCGGCTGATATGTGCAAGAGAAATTGATTTTACAGATTTTTTTTTTAGTTTCAACAACAATTGTCTGAATTTCATTTATATTTCAGAGCACTACCTCATGGCCAGTTAAAACAAGTTTGTATTGTTTCTAGGATATTGTTCAAGGGTCTGTTTTTCCAACAAAATAATATTGGAAAATTGAAGGTGCATTGTGACCTTATAACACCTGAGTGTCGATTTAAAACAAAATAGGTATCGGTCAAAATCGGAATCAGCAAATCAGACTTTTTAGAAATCGGTGATCAGCCAGAAAACTGCAATCGGTGCACCCCTAGATGGAAAATAAAAATAAAAATCTGTATGCTTTTTTATAACTGTCTATTGTTGTCATCATTCTTTGTTGAAATCAGGTCTCTTGTCAATGAGTCATTGAGGCCTGTCTAAATAAAAGCTGAATGAATGAATGAATGAAAATGTCTGTTCTTGCCCTTTGTGAAATACACGTCTAAATAAATGCGACTTATACTGCGAAGCGACTTATATATACATGTTTTTTTCCTTTTCATGAGGCATATTTTGACTGATACGACCTATACTCCGAAGCCACGTATAGTCCGGATAACATGGTAATTTGTTTCCACACAAAATGTGTTTATTTTTTCAAGACTTGTTAACATTAAGGTCACTGAATTCAACATTAAAGCTGCCTTTGTTAAAATAGCGTAAAACAGATGGAAATAGAATTACATTTACACTTACTTTAGTACATCCTCCATTTTTACACGACGTTCCAAGTTTGATTTCATCATCATCTTCTTCTATGAGTAAAAAAAAAAAAAAGGTAGAGCTTAAAAACCCATGGTGAGAATTAAAAATGCATTGGGCTGTCGCCTTCTTGTCATCTTTATCTCAAACATCCTGATGTGAATGACACAAACGATGAAAAAAAATCCCAGGTGCCATCCATTAAACTCTACTGTCAACATGACCTTCATGCATACTATGACGTGCACTGAGTGAAAGAAAGATGACTGGAAATGTGGAACTATATTAAAGATGATCAAAGAGGCGAAGGCAAAAAGCTCGCTCCCCACCTTTCTTGTCCGTTTTATTTTCAGAGAGCTTCAGTTTCTCCAGTGCCTGCTTTAGAGAGGTGGAGACTTTATGAGTCAATCTCACTACCGGCTCATCAGAACTGTAAGAGAAACAAATAGAACACAGTTAAAACCAAATCATAAAGACAACATGCAGACTTTTTAGTTGTTAAAATATTACAATAATCACATAAAAGCAGATTTAGATAAAATATGTTCTATAAAAAAAATAGTCCTATTGCCCATATAAAGTTTTGTGAAGATACATTTTGTTAACATTGCTGCTACTTTCCTTTGTGTCAAAAAGAAATGGCAGTGAAACCAACCTGGGTCTGTATATTGCCTCCTGAGGTTTTGGTGCAGAGATTATGTACTCGTTAAACTTTGTTGTCGGTGTTTCCACCTCTTTTTTCTCTCCCGATGTCGTCACGTCTGGTTTCACCGGCTCAGGGGGCTTCTCTTTGTTGTGGGGACCTTTTGTACAACCCTGAGAGAAAAAAAAAAGTCACTGTATTGGACTTAAAACAATGTGCTGGGGTCACAAAAGTGACGATCAATACCTATGAAACAGAAGACAATGGAGGGGGAACTCAAAGTGCAGAAATTGGGTGATTTAGAACAAAAAGAAAAACTTACAGCAATGCTAAGGAAGTCTGAGAAGTCAGTAGTTCTTCTCTTGCAGCAGGACCATCCCTAAAAAGGACAGACATATTCAATTTAAACAGATCTTAAACAGTGTGAGCTGTGGGCACAGTCTTCACGCATTTTTACCTTCAAAGCATCGTGGAACACTGGGACCCCCGGGTGAAAGGTGCAACCATCTGTAAAGACAAAAACACTTTGATCAACCTGCAGGAAAACTGTTGGAGGGATGTGGAAGTGGTAATAGTTTACAAGTAAGCCTAAATTATTTCTGAATAAAAACAGGCCATAAAAAAAAAAGAGTGCTGACTTTGTAGAATGGTTTTATATATGTTTGAACTTGTAACAGCAATAAAAACTAGTGACTTTTTAACGTTTTGTCTTTTTATTCACACAAAATATCTCATTAAAATCTTAAACATTCAACGTGAAAGCAAACTTTAATGTGGTCTATTAAATGACAAAAATGTAAAGTCAAGAAGGTCCAACAATACTCAGAGAACCAGGGGAAAAAAATAATAATACAAATGACAACACTAAGATTACACAGGTTTTATAAGCATATGTAGAAGAACACTACCTTGTATTAAAATATAGCTTTTACCAATTGTTAGAAAAAATAAATAGAAAATACAGCTGATTTGATGGAACCAGGGAAACTATAGAAATTCAAAAAAACCCAATCCTAGCCATTTAACAGGACTTAAAACTGTATTACACACATAAACAAACAGGTCCAAACAAAAGAAAATTAGTGAATCTTAGTAAATGTCCAGAAACAAGAGTAGCCTTTTATAAAATGTTTACCATTTTCTCATAATAATAAATATTTCAATATTTAGCCAGTTTCTCTTGCTGATTAATATTTTCAGGCCGTACCGAAAGTTTAATGCCATCAGTGTCAGTACAAAACTAGTCTGAACTCTAAAACCAGCACCATTGTTTAGATTTTAGCACATAGTACTCGGTATGAAAAGCAAACACAGGCGTGCATATATAAACTGAAATGTCATTTTTCCAAAAATGTCTACTTTTTAAATACATAATAAAAATTTGCCATTTAAAAGTTTTCACTAAGTATTGTTTTCCTTATGTAGACTCTTTATAGGTGAACAAGAGGTAGAAAGTCACAAAAAGTACTCTGCAAAATATCCGTGACAGTGTGTAGAAAGATTTCATTAAATTTGGGACATGGAAATCTACCGGTACTCTTTTTTTCCCTATGGTCCACAAACCATTTCTTGGATTTCCCTCCAGTAAAATGTTCTGCACAGTTTTATGCACTCCTATAAGAAGCACCATGACCACAAATCATAGGACATAAATCACTTTCTGTGCAGTACAGCCTGAGGCGTGCCACTGTCATAGATACACCACTTAGATATACCTAAATGTAATTATAATATACTCTTCTGTTGTGAAAAAGCACCATCCTATTAAAATGGAAATTAAACTTGGCTCCTGGTTTGAGTGTACACACTACGGTAGAGTTCTGGAAGACAGAGGATGACAAGTCAAAGAAAAAAACAGCCCACTGAGGACTTCCCGAGGGTCTGTTGTGGGAACTGAAGACATCATCTCCACCTTGACAGTTCAATTACATTTCAACCAGAACATAAAATAAACAAAGGTATCACGTATGAACTTTGTCTTTTAATAATAAATAAGGAAATCAAAGGTTTAAAAGTAAAAAGCCTTGAAACTAACCTACACTCACAAACATATAGCACGTGTGTGAGGTTACTACCGTACGTGTTTCAAAATGAGGGAGAAATGACTTTTTAAATTTTGTACTTTTTTTATTTCAAAATTAAAACAATTTCCTTAAAATAAATAGTTTGCACCAACTTCAAAACAAGATTTTCATTATACTTTCATATGTTTGTAAATATATATGTTCATCAAATAAAACTGAAAGACATAACTAAGAAAAAAAACAAAGACTTTTTGTAGTATCTCAAATTCAGGCCCCAATATTAATCCTTGTATACAATTTAAACTTTATTTTGTTTTGACTGAGCTTCTTAAGACTGTGCTTATTTACTTCCACAGACTTTGGGCGGAAAATACAGTATGAATTAAAAAAATAATAATAATGAAAATGTTTTTTAAATATGTATATGTGTATATCTTACAGTTTATACTTTTTTTAGATGTAACTGGGACCCTGTGTACACAATTTCGTTCCACCTCATGAACCACATGTGATGCGAATGACAAACAACCTTGAATCTTGAATATGTATGTGTATGTATGTACCGTATTTTCCATCGTACATGTCGCACCGCCCTATAAGTCGCATCAGTCCATACTTAGCTAATAAAATGGAAAAATTCATAAATGTCGCTTCGCCGTATACGTCGCATCTATTATGCGTCACAGCTGACACACTGCATTTGTTTCACGTCACCGAATGCACAGGAGGACTTTAACAAGAATTCAACAATATTAACACTTAAAAACAACTATTTGTTTGCTCGAAATTATAGCAAAGGTGTGTCTCAGTTGAACTTTAATGATCAGCTGCATTTCGTGGGGGCGGTGCAGCGAAATGAAGCTGGTTTGACGGTTGCTCCAAGCGAGCAGAACGAAGGTGTCAGTCTATGGCAAGCCGATTGTGTCATTAATAGCTGGTGAAGAGTCTCAGTCATCCAGGACATGGTAAATTCAAA